GAGAGAGAGAGAGAGCGGGAGGGATAGAAAGCGAGGAATAGAACGAGAGAGATAGAGAACATAGCGTGGCCGCCGTGGCGTCTGCTGGTTTTTTTTGTCTGCCCACCCTGGTGCGTGTGCGTGTGCTTTTTGCTGTGCCAGTGCAGTTCCTGACGGACCCGAAGCGGATGCCGAGCAGCAACAACAACGGCCTGCCGCAGCCTCCTGCTGCGGATGACGTTGAGAAGGTGGACCCACTCGAGGGCGTTCTCGGCACGCGGCCGGACTGCAAGTACGTGAAGAAGAAGTTGCTGGGGCAGGGTAGCTTCGGCAGCGCGTGGCGCGTGGAGGAGACGGAGACAGGCGGCATCTACGCCGCCAAGGTGATGGACACCAACAGCATGAGTGCGAAGGACCGCGGCTTTGTCACGAACGAGGTGAAGTGCCTCTCCCGCTGCAGCAACGCCAACATCATTCGGCACCGCATCTCATACGAGCGGGGTGGCATGCTTCTTATCATCATGGAGTACGCTGACGGTGGCGATCTCTACAAGCAGATCAAGGCCCGGCAGCAATCGATGCGGTACTTCAAGGAGCACGAGGTCCTCTTCATCTTCCTGCAGCTGTGTCTGGCCCTGGACCACATCCACATGAACAAGATGATGCACCGTGACTTGAAGACCGCCAACGTGCTTCTCACAACGACGGGTCTGGTGAAGCTGGGTGACTTTGGCTTCTCCCGGCAGTACGAGGACTCGCTGTCGAACCCTGTCGGCTCCACATTCTGCGGGACTCCCTACTACCTGAGCCCGGAGCTGTGGCGCCGCGCGCCCTACAGCAAGAAGAGTGAGATGTGGGCGCTGGGCGTTGTGCTGTACGAGGTGATGGCCCTGAAGCGCCCCTTCGGTGGGCGCAACATGGACGAGCTCATCGACAACATTCTGCACGCCCGCCGGCAGCCGCTGCCGAGCATGTACAGCGAGGAGCTGCGCAACGTGTGTGACCAACTGCTCTCTCTTGATCCCAAGTACCGCCCGTCGCTGCGGCAGCTGTTCCAGCAGGCGTTCATCCGCACGGGGCTGGAGACGCTGAGGCGCAGCGTGGAGAGCCACAACAGGATCCCGGCGCAGGTGCACGAGGAGATCGCCCGCAACGTGGACGAGGTGCTCAACTCCGACATACAGGACTACGAGAGCAGCCGCGTGGTGCCACGGCAGGGGATGGTCAAGCGGCACACGTCGGATCGCGGCTGGCAGAACTGCGAACTCTCCCTGAACGAGGAGGCGGTGACGATACGGGACGTAGAGACGGGCAACGTGGAGAAGGTGGAACTCGGTGCTCTCACGTCTGTCTGCCCGATTGATTCCGCGATTGCCAATGAGAAATACGTCTTTGCCATGAAGAACCAAACGGGCAAGGTGTTTTGGTTCAAGGAGAGCAGCGAGACGTCGTACGAGGAGTGGCTCGTTGCGTTGCAGAATGCGATGCCATTCTAGGAGCACGCGGGGGGCGGGACATGTCTGGGCTATACATATATACGCTGTATATATGTATTTACGTATATATACACGCATATATATATATATATATGCACCTCTATACACAGCTGTGTATGTACGGATAAGTATATGAAGGTTTGCATGCTCAGCGCACTAATATATACACCCGCGTGCCCGGCACTGGAAGGGCCGAGCCGCACCGAACCTTCGCTTTCAAAAAAAAACACCACAAAAAAAAAGCAAAAAAGAACCAAAAAAATGTTCAAACAACAGAATGTCACAAGAGAAGATGTAATAGGGAGTAAGAGAGGAAGGAAAGAGCGAAAAAAAAAAACAAAGAAATGAAGGAATTCAATAATAATACGGAGCGTTTCGTTGGTTTCGTCAGTTTTTGCTGCCATCTCTGCGCGCAGAACACAGCGCGTGGTGTCAGTGGTCGTGCAATAAAGAAGAGTCAGAGGCCGTGATGCGTTTGGCATTTCACCTGCCTCTCCATGGGTGGGCAGGGAAAGTAGGAGTCTCTGTTTTTTGATTTACTTTTCCGTCCCAGCTTTGCTTTCGGCCCTTGCACGGGGTGACGCAGCGCCATGGGCCACACACACCCCTATGTAAACAGCAGCAGCAGTCGCAACGACGCGCGTCCACACACACACACACACGCACAGGCGTATGCGGAGGGGAGAGAGGGAGAGCGATTGTGCGTACGAGAGATGCGCCATATCCTCACCGACAACGGCTGTGGTGCGCTGGGTGAGTGTGAGGACGACCGCGGTCGGATGAGAATGCAAGAGCAGGGCAGATTGGGTGTCACTGTATGTACTGTGATGCAAGAATTACATGGGCGGAGGAGCCGTTAGGTAATGAAAAGACGGTTAGTAAGAAGAAAAAAGGAAGAATAAGTGCCTCAACATGTGGTGTGTCCACTCCTGGCTTCATGCTGCACCGCCGCTGTTGAGTGCCTTTTGGTTCACTGTGTTTTTGACGCCCTTCTTTGCCGTTGCGTGTCTGTGTGTATGTGTGTGTGTGTGTGTGTGTGTGTGTGTGTGCGTGCATGTTCTTCGCTCCCCACCTTTTCTCCTTCCCCTTCCCCCCTCCTCTTTCTCCTCATTCTGNTGTTGAGTGCCTTTTGGTTCACTGTGTTTTTGACGCCCTTCTTTGCCGTTGCGTGTCTGTGTGTATGTGTGTGTGTGTGTGTGTGTGTGCGTGCATGTTCTTCGCTCCCCACCTTTTCTCCTTCCCCTTCACCCCTCCTCTTTCTCCTCATTCTGCTGCTGCTGCGAGGTCTCGCACCGCGTGGCGCGGTTGACGCTCCCATTCGAACGGTGCGCAGAGGCGGACGGAGCGGGAGACCGAGCGGTGCAGCGAGTCGCACCGAAGGGGATGTGGACCTCTTGGGAGTAGCGGCGGCTATGCACCCCGCACACACACACACACACACACAAACACAAACACACGTACACACAGTCGCAAACGCTCAGAAAAGAATGGGAGAACGTCGAGTATATGTACAACCCGGTATGAAGGAAACAGAAAACACACAAACGGGCTGCTATTCTTCTCCCTTCTGATCTGCTGTCCTCCCGGGAGGGGCTGCGAGCGGCGCCACGATGCCATCCCTCTCCTCCCATTCCGCACTGTGTTCCCCGCTCCTCTTGTGCGTGTGTGCGTGCTGTATACAACAAGGGGGAGGTGGTGAATGCCGGTGAGAAGGGGGGAAGGGGGCGTGTGAATAACGTGCTGTTGCTATATTCGAATTGTGACAACTACTGTTTCTTTGCTGTCCCCTGCTCCTGCGTCTGCACTTCACAACGTCGAGAAGGGAAGGGAAGGGTGATGGATGTGGCAGCGCTGTCGGTGAGTGGGAGTCCATTGGATCCACACGTGGCGGTGCTTTCTGTCGCTGCCGCGCCCGCATCCGCGCGGGAAGTGCCGCGTGAGTACCACGTGGAGCTCGCCGCCGCGCAGGTGGAGGCCGTGATGGTGCGGCTCAGAC